CGTGATGGTGTGCCCTGAATGGCTCTTCACTGAATGGACTAATAGCATCAGCCGACCCTGTTACCACCATTTCTACATCTTCAGTGAATTCGCCTCTCGTGAGGATTTAAGTTGTTTTCCTATGGTTCGGACTCAGTTCCATTATGCTCCCAAGCATCATATCTCCTTCCTCCCATTTCTAGGGTGAGATAATGAGCCTATTATCCAATTTTCAAAACGAAAAAGAAGGGAAAACAATTAACCTCTCATTTGAAGTCTCCCTCTTTATTATTTCTGGTCACTCCCTACTTCTAGCGTTTCTCTCCATTCTTATTAGCGTTTTATACTCATTTCTGTCCGTCTTCCAACCTGCTTTACCTGCTCTTGCCTTCTATTTCTCATGCCCATCCTGGCCTATTATTCTGCGTCTTACCTCTGGCCATTTTGCTTGTTGCTGTTCCTCTTGGTCTACTTAAACTTGCTTCAAGCTCCCAAAGCTGCTATGATTTCTATATTGAACAAGTTCGCAGGCTCAGCATCTCTAGGGGGGGGGGGGGAAGAAGATCCAGGCACGCTGTTGCGGCAATTCCTCAGGTAGCAGTCTTATTTGAATCGCTGACATTTTCACAGTGCTGAACATTTTTTGAGAAACCTCCCACTGTCACAGCCTGCCATTTTGCGGTTGCTTCCTCCTCGTCCTGACATCATCGATTCTCAGTAGTTTTACACAGTGCCTCAATCCTCACTTTCTCTAGTCACTGGTTATTCCTTTAACGCTTAGCTGACCTTCTCTCCCTCTTAGCCCTGTTCTACTGCAGTCTTCCTGTTCCGCTTCATTGACATTATTTGGTTTTTCATACTCCGCTCCAGAAATTTCTGATTTTCATATTTCGTAGTCTTATCAACATCAGTCCACAATAGTCAACATACTTCTTATCTTTGAGCACGAAGTAAATCATCGATGAGGGGTGTCGCATCAGGTCGTTGGAGGGACAGGCCGTACTTGCCATTGCTTGAGGGAAAGGTTTTCGATTGTTGATTTAATTTCTTTGTAATACCTGTTCCAGCGTGCTATAAACCTGCTCGGCAAATTCAGACGATGTAAGAAGGGGAAAAGTACCGCACTTTGCACAATTCCTACAAAGGCAGGACGAAAAAGGCAGGAAAAACAGAAATGGAGAAAAGTGGCCCTGCTCAAAACGCGCGGTTCAGGGGTTGCAGTTAGGATCGCCCTCCTACCAACCCACCCGAGAAATCCTCATTTCTTCGAGGCAGGTATATTGGCTCTAGATAGTTGGTTTGTGAGGAGAAAAACCCTGGTTTGTAGATCAGCTGTCTCCCGTAAGTTATTTTTTCAAGCCATCGCATTCAATAGGCCACTACTAGTCAGAATGGAAGTAGAACGCGTGCCTTGTTCCGAGATAGGACTGTTCAACCATTCTTCATCTCTTCAGCTTTTCTTCAAGTTAGCATCCTTTTTCCTGTTCCCGTTTCACGGTTAGGCGCCGAAACATAGGTCTACTGGGTCCCTCAATTTTTCGACGGCTTGAAAATGCACCACAACGACGTTCATTTTATGATTTATTAATACAAGAATGGGCAACATTAATAACAATATTATGACATGCTCGTGTCTCCTTAGACAGAGGCAGCGAGGTGTGAGGATTTAGGGTTTTCTTGTTGTGAGGAGAAGAAATCCGATAGGTGCCAACGGACGATGATGATAGACTGGTAACGGTGGATTCAATCAACTGTCCACTGTAGGTATGATTAAGTACTAAAGTAAGCTAAACGACAAGTGATAATGGACAGTAGGATCGAGTCCTGACAACTAGACGACAATAGGCTGAGTCAATCGATTATCGATTGACCGCCTGACTACATTGGACGGGGGACGACGATAGGAGGAGGAGGAGAACGGCGGATGAAGTCTCAGGCTGCCGAAATGCTGCACACAAACATTCACACACCGAGGCGATCGATATACATATAATGAACATGAAGGTGATGACAAACAAAAATCTCTGAATACCCAAAATAATAAAAAAAATATGATGAAGGACGATTTTGGCCACTACGCGGTTGGCTGTAAGCTGCTCCACATACATATACATACGGGTTTTACTCAGCAAAACTCGATGAAATACGGTAACGCGTCGTCGCGCGCGTTCAATTACGACAAACATTAATTCTGTTTATACTTTTTTTTCGACGCAACGACACGCCAATGAGGAACATCACACATACATATACATCATATTATTCAATCGAAAATCAATAAATCAATAAATGTATGTACACACGCAATGTGTTAGTGAGACGGGGCCAATTCCGAAAGTCGTGTATGATTGAGAATTACCATATATATTCATGATGAAAGTAGCAGTGGCTGGATGTGGTTGAGCTGCTGTGAGACTCAGAACGAGAGAAATGGTTAGAGAGCTAGAGAGCGAGAGAAACAGAGAAATATAGGGGCACAGACATTGAGAGAAACATAGAGCGTGGTAATCGATACGTATTTGATAGATACAACAGACGAACATGGTACATGCAAACACACACAAACGGCGGCGGTATTGAAGCGCGACCGATCGTCGGGTGTCCCAAATGACACACTCAACGTCGGCTGAAAGACATAATGGTTACCAAAACAAATAGAAAAAAACAGGGTACTGTAAGGATTCGAAGGGGTTCGAAAGCGCTGGTAAGTTGCTGCTGCTTGTGGCTGGTTGGATTGTGATTGGATCCTAACACGAAGTGGTGCTGAAGTACGGTAGGCCGAGGGCTATACTGCGCTATCAATGGGCTTATTAGAGACGCACATACACATGAACTCACATAAAATACGACGGCAATGATCACAATTGAATGACTATACACATGTTTCCTATAATAAAACAATATTAATAATAATCATATGATGATGATTGAATGATAATTGATAATGAAAGTCAGCGCTGTAAAAGACATTAATAGAAGGTGTTTAAATGTGTGAGTAAGTAAAAAAAACATTTACAACGAAAATTACAACTGATAACTAGGATGAAAGAATTTGGGGTAGTAGAAGACCATAATGGAGCAGCACAGGTGCCTAGAACCGAATCGCGGCCGTGTTTCCAAGGTGTATAAGCGGCGGATGGGCAGGCAGGCAGGACAACGCGACAAGAGAAGAATGAGGAAGTCAGATATGAGGATTGTTTGGGGGGTGCTAGCGACGGTTGACGTGAGACGACAAACCGACGGCGCGCAACGACAGTGATGTGCTTCTGAGCAGTCTCCAGGAGGGTTAGGCCTTGGGCCATACGGCAGCGATGAGTGTTGTTGACCAACGACGGTCGTAACGGCGGCGGCGGTCAGTCCCAGGCGTTGGGCGATGGTGGCAGTTCGGACGCTTGAGCCACCGATGAACTGAAAATGACCATCCTTTTCAAAGAACTTCATAAAATAAGAAAAATAAATGAATAAAAGTAGTAAAAAAGAAAAGAATTGATATCAAGTAATCTACAATTACAGGAAATCTATATCGACTGAAGGTGGCACCGCAGGGATAAGTAATGACCAATGCCGTGGTGCCTACTACGGCCGGGCGTTAAAACATTCGGACAGGCTAGAGTTCCGAGAAGCAGAGTCAACAGAAGTCGGAGACGAAGACGACACAATTTGGTTGGTGTGACCCACTATATCTACACCTAACAAGCTAGCCCTACTAATGGAACTTTGGGCAGCTCCGCTTTCGTCGACGACCAATCGAAGTAAACGTGCAAAAACTAGATACCGATTAGATGAACGAGAAAATCGCCGACCCTAAAAGTATAAATGAGATGGTTGCAATCAGTCGTGGCAGTGGCAGAGGAGCCCGCCTACGGCGTTTTCCACCAACAGTAGAAGTAGATCGGTTCAGGTAGACTACTACCGATAAATTGCCGCGATCCCGCCTTCTCAAGCCGCCCCGACTGCTTGTGAAGATATCAGCTGTACTGTAGTTGTAAGTCGAATTCAATGTGCAGGTAGGGGAGGAAAGCAGCCTCTCCTCCCATCCCCTAATCAAGAAAACTGCCTGATCAGAAAGCCTTCCGGCTAGCTCGAACGAAAACGATGCACTGGTAAATCCGTGCACATGCTCTATGGAGTTCGTGCAACTTCGTGCCACTATGATCGAACATCCTCCTGAAGGGCTAAGCATGGCCCAAGTGGACACAACTGGCTCATCCCCCTCGACCACTTCTTATTCATAAGCTTTGCAACAATTGCCCCATCGTGCAAACGATCATGCAACAGCTGTTCAATCTCTGCCCGAGGAGATTTAAGAATTACATCCTGGGAATGTGCTGGCTTGCCCACGAACACCGCCCGCTATAGATGAAAAATAGCTAATCGCTTGGAGAATTAATGCAGTGGAGTCAGTGCTGCCTGGGTGTTCAGAGAGCGGGATTCAGAAAGACTTGAGACTCGAGTCCTGACAAACAGAATCGACAGGAATCAGAGACGCAGAGGACATGAGATGGATTCGTAGAGCTAAACTAAGGCAAGGCAAGGGAGATCCAAGGAGGAATTCGAACCTGCACCTCGTGCTTTCTGGGCGAACTGGCCGTTGCTCCATCGAGGGCGCTCTCACCCTTTCGGATCTGTAGAGTGACAACCTAACCTATCTCAATATTGTGAGTTAGTCCCATCAAATGAAGATCATCTAAGACGAATTGGCCTAAGAAGATTTTGCAATCTAAGAGTCCTGTCCAGAACGCGATCTGATGTTTGAGAAGGTATGCCCCGCCCATTCCACTCGACGATTACAAAGGCAGATTGAAGATACTGAAGGAGCAGTTCTGCCAATAGCTTTCGAGATTTCTCGCATGACGAAACATTTAATAATAGGCTATCCCACCCCATGCATTACAAATCCACATAAAATTGCATAAAAAATGAAAACTACAAAAAATAAAAAAGGAACACACCTGGCGAAGTTCTTATAGGCCGCCGAACTCGGATTAATACACAGCGGTGTACCAAAGAGTGGTGTACGCTCAGCCGAACTTAATACATGGCATCCGTAAATCGAACATTGACAACCGGGATAATTCCTTTTCCCATTTGGGATCAAAAGGCATTTCATGCTGAAATAGCAGTTTTACTACGTGAAAAGGTAAGGAAGACATAAATATCAAGAAAATAACCCAAAATGGGCGGGAACTCACCATCGGATCAGGATCCGTACTGAAAATTCGGGTGTTACCGGGATTGTTCGTATAACAACACGAGCACATACACGAATGGAAACGCATTCGGCCTTCATCCAAATAGCCGTGCTTTAGCGCTTGTTCCAGGTAGGCCCGCTTTATCACTGAATAGGGAAAAATAAGCCAATCTTCAGTGCAAGTTCTGAACTCAGAATATTCCCCACATTATTGCAAAAGCTGGGAATGACGGGATCGGTCAGGAAGTCCACGCTTGCGGTGCAAAGCGACATAGAGATGGCGTTACACGGGTACATATGCAGCCGAAGGTAGTCTTATCCGGCAAAGATAAGCCGGTGGGAGGGGTGTGGCTTTCATGTGCAAGCAAGTGCAGATTGCGCCTAATTTTACGGGCTTAGCGATGACATTCATGTGGGGGAAAAATGCCGCCTGGCCATTCACCCACTCCCCGCGCCGTTTGTGTTCAAAGACCATGACCGTGTCCTAACACTGGGCGCAGTCAATCCAGTTTCCGCGAAACCGTGAGCAATCTGGCCCTTCTGACTGAACCCGTAAAGTCAGGATAAAAATAGCCCAGAAACTCACCGGATCAAAGTGCAACATCATGGCGAGCAATTGGACGGCATCGTCGGTGGTGTGTTGGCTGAGTTGTCGCATACGATGGAATGTGTTGACCCGGAAGGGCGCTCGTAGCACATGATTTCTGGCCCCTTCACATGCGTACTTCATCTCCTCGGGTGTAGGTGTGCCAAGCAGATCGATGATGAGATCCAACTGAACGAATATCGATTAGGACGAATTATATCCAGGAAAGAAAGAACTCGGGCACAAGATCCGTACCTGATCAATCGGACCCTGTGCTTGGAACAATATCCGTCTGGCGAGTAACTCTGCGAAAATACACCCGACTGACCAGATATCCACTGCACCGGTATACCTGAAATGAGGCATTTTACCTAGGCACCAATATCGTACCAATCAATCGATAACGTACCTTCGTGCACCCATAAGAAGTTCTGGAGCACGATAATACTGTGTGACGACTTCATGTGTCATGTTTTGTCGCTCCCGTGCATCCCAGATTCTAGCCAGGCCAAAATCGCAGATTTTCAGGATACAGTTGCTGTTCACCAGTAGATTACCAGGTTTGATGTCTCGGTGCAGGATGTTGGCCGAATGGAGATATTTCAAGCCTGAAAAGAAAATAAATTGTGACAGCAGGGTACGTTATAACGATGGGAAACGGGCTTAGCTTAGCCTACCGCTACCCCTTGTGGGGTCCACATCAGCATAAATCTACAAATTCACTGTCTCCTTACTCACTTCACCGCTAAGTTCCCAAAAAAACTTACCGGCGAGGAGCGGGGTTGAATTACCACAAAGGAATGAAGAAGATTCCCATATCCCCATTTTTATTTAAAAAATTTCCGCGCACTTCCAGATTAATGAAAGCTGAGGATTCCACTAGGATAAGCCCTAAACGACAAAAATTCTAGGAAAATCGTTCGTGCCTTATCATCTCGACGAGTATTGGGATAAGGAAAGGGATAAGAAACGGGTTTTCCCCAGCTGAAAATCCCTAGGCCCTAGGAACAGGCCCGGATACAAAGAATAAAGCTGAATTCACCTGGCTCTAACATCCAGTACTATTCTGGGCTCCTAAAAAACCAACAAAAAACATGAAAATGGATATGTCGGTGTAAATGTTACGAGTGGTGGGGTTTTTGATTGGGTTTTTTATGGATTTTATAGGCATTTTTGAAAGGCAAATCATGAAGAAGAGTCACCCAACTCACTGAACCCCTTGCCCTTACAAATACCGGTCAGGAAGTATCGATCAAAAGTAATTTTTTTCTCGTTTTTCGAACTGACAGTAAATTTTAAAAAATAAGAGATCTCAAAAAATCTACCTCTCAAAATCTGGTACACAAACACTTTCACATGGTCAACAGTGAGCGGTTGTGGTGAAACGATAATTTTATGAAGATCACTTTGCATGAGCTCCGTCAAGACGTACCTGAAAATATTTACAGTATGAATAATTTATAGGGCTCAAAAAATGTTATCCATAAATTAAAATTCAAGAATTGACTTCAATTCAAATTGAAATTTTTTAAGATGTTTCTAGTTTGATAACAGATACATTTCAATTCAATCCAATTTTTTTCACTTTTTTATTCATTTTTATTCAATTTCAATTTTTAATGTTAAATTCAATTCGCTGATGTTTTTTGAAAAGTCCTGAAGAAAAAAAACATATCCTTTTATTGAACCTCTACCAATTCCCAATGTATATCTTGAAATATTTACTTTTTGGTCGACGGATACGAAATGTGAAAGAAAAATTATCAGAATAATAAAAAAATCAGGTGCCGTTCGGCTCGGAAGGGGCAATTTCACACTTCCGCCAAATCCTTTCGTTAGTTCATATGAGTAACATGTAACCCGCGAGCTGTATAACTTTGGTGAAACCTGTAAAGCCCTGTAAATCTGCGAACTGGTGCCAATGATCCATTTGATCACAGGAATTCACAGGTCTTCACAAGGTGGCCTTGAGAGCTTGGTTGAGTACCATTCGGTGCCCCTTCCAAGCCGAACTGCGCCAAAAAATGGATTGCACACTTAGTTACCTATATAGTGGACTAGCTTTTACTAAATGTTATTAATAATCAATACTTAATTAAAAATTATTTCTCAATTATAAACTGCTACTTAATTATAAATTTTCATTAAACAAACTATCGAAGAGTTCAAAATGACTACAAACCACTTGAGAAAAAAAAATTGAAATTTCAATAAAGGTAAAAGAACAGCAACCTTTAACTGCTGCTCTTAGTTCACAGTCGCCCTCAATTTTCCCAAGTACTTCTCTCCTGTCCCAAAAATCTTCCCCAAACCCTCCACGTGGTCCCTATTCTCATCGTTGGGCTAAATATGGCTGAGGTGTCGAGATGGGGGGCATTGTTATTTGTTAGGGTGCTGGTGGTGGTGTGTGTTGTGCGGGTCAATCGCGTACCAGGCACTAAGGACACCATTCAATCCACCTCTAGCCGCCCTCATCTTATCGCCACCGCGGGTTCAGGTCACAAAAAACATACCGTAACCTGATCAGCTGATCCATTTATTGGAACAACTGGAGATTCCAACTGAGTGAGATTCCATGGAGCTGAAACTTCAGAACCAGCCTATAGACCAGGGACCAGGGAAGTTCTTAATTCAAAACAGCGACCCGATTTCCAAGTCCCTGAATCACTCTTCGGAACGGCTGAGATTTAGAACGCGCTGGTCGGGTTAGGAGGGGAATTTTCCAATCCGATGCGCGTTAAATGGCTTAATTTTCCCTTTCAGGTACAGGTCACGGTCGACGAAAGGGCACTTTAATCGAGTGGCATTATGAAATTGAAATTTAGGTCAACGCACACCCGTCCTTGGCCCCGTACTTAATCCTTGATTGAGGATTTTGCATTTCAAATAGTTCAACTCCCAAGGATCCTAAATTCTCTCACCCACTAGTTCTCAGCAGCCGTGGGTTCTGTTTCAAAAAAGACGTCATATGGTCCTCATACTCCTCCCGAGCAGCGAAAATCGGAATCGTATCAGCAGTGAAGCGTCGCGGGTTGCTCGTCCCCATCTGGTGACCTCGAACTCGACCTCAACTATTCGAGGTGGCAGGTGGGTCCGGCTCGTCCCGAACGTGCGGCGGGTACCGGTTAGCTAACAATCGATCAATACGCATCAGTTGTCACACGCGCGCGGTCAAGTAGAGAGCAGTGAAGCAATCTGGCACCGATATGACCTCACAACCTGCAGCAGTAGCAGCGCTATGAAGAGGTCACGCACCCACAGAGCGGATAAGAATGCTACCTAACCTGACCTTTGCTTACATAACTAAATTGGCAGCCTACTCGACGGGTGGCCTTTTCTAACCAGTTATTATTTCGACAAAAGAACCAAATCCAGGTGGGGAAGAAAAGAAAAAATGAAGAAGGTAGGCATTCGATAACCCAGGACTTGGCCGGCATAGAGAGCAAGCCACATGATAGTTTCTGCTAAAAACTGAGCTCGTAAAATACGACTTGCCCTCAAAAGTTCCTCCTCCTGGTACGACCCCCTCTCCATTCCCCATTCCTATGCACCGTCTTTCTAAATCCTCCCAACTTTCTACAAGTTTTCCCGTGTTTGAAAACTGCCGCCTAGCCGTGGAGAACTTGTGGGGGAAGGGGGGAGATGGGGGAGAGGAAGGTGAGCGCACAAGCAAAGGAAAAACCGAAAAAATTCGACAACACAGGAAGCATTTTCTAAAGGTAAAATGATGTTCTCCCTTCTTTTCAGCAACCAAATACGACCCCCTCCCCGCTGGCGATCCTCAACACACAACGTCGGTAAAAGCCAAGGTTCAGGCTTATGGTAACCACCCACATAACCCAAGCGCAGCGAAATCCATCACAAGCTGTTTACTGGAGTTCTGCAGATACTTCATCGAATTACTTCCGGAAGCTTTGGAAAAAAAAAACCGAAAGGCATGAAAGGATTCTAGCCTTCCCTATGAAATCAACAGCGGAATGGTAATTACTCTCCCATCACAAGCTTGTGTTGATGACTGTATATCCGCCCCCCCCCCCTCGCCTTTTTTTGCAGGAATTCAAAATCCATAATAACTTTTCTGGGGCGGCAACATGCAGTCGAACTGAATCAGTTACGGGACAGAATGTCGTGGCGCCACCTCAAAACTGCGAGTGAATCAGTACGGTACGCTTAATTCTTTTCTACATCGCTTAGTTACCATATTCTGGCGGTAGCTCCCACGAATTGGACCCTCATCGATGTCAGTGGACCTTCGTTAAATCGCTTTCCGGAGCCGGGATTAATCGGAACTTGTGGTCCAACCAGCACTCTGATTGTCCATCCCCATATAAACTCACCCACCATTCAGTCACGCACAGACCAAACATCCACCGACTTAGGTAGGCGGAGGATCGAGCTGCGCCGCGATAAAGGAACTAGCTCCGTGCCACGCGGCTTTTACTTACCAACTGCCCTGCTACGCGCACTTCCGGAGTCGCCCACTACAATCATGAAACCCGAAACGAGAGGCCGTGTAGGGGGGGGGGGCTTATGGACACCACGCAGTAGGCCTACTCGTCCCAAAGGTGCGTACTTACGTAGGATGGCCCAATTGTTGGGGAAAAAGACGATGCCATGGCTGGCGCCAGTTGCTTCTCACACGCCCTTCCCTTGCAGGGATAAAAATGACTGTAAAATATGGATCTGAATGCGAAGAGACCGCAAATTTTTGGGCGTTTCATTCGCACACCGAGACTGCGTTGACGCCGATCAAACCCTTCACCGCTGGTTGGATTTCCTAACCTTGAAATTTGTTCCATTACGGCGGGTCGAGAAAGAGTGGCGGGTATAGTTGAATCATGTTCCCGAAGGACATTTTCCTTTTCGGGGCTGATGGTTGTGGAACAAGGGAGAATATAGTAATTTTCAGGAAAATTTCAAAGCAAAGCAAAATTTGTTAAAATCATTCAATAAAAGATCAGAAGCGCAGCTAATGAATGAAAAACTCACAGCTCTTGAAAGAAATGCGGATTCGTTGGTTGCAAGATGTCCAAAAGAGAAAGGACCTGAAAGTATACATTTCCATTTTTCACTAAAAATAAGATCTCTCTAGAAAGAAATAAAGGGCTGATAACTTGCGGGAAGGGCAGGGGGAGGGGGCATTTGAAGGAACACTGCTGGGAAATCAGAATGAACGAAATCCTGGTGGAATTATCGCACTTGGATTGGTTCACCAACCCTGGAGCTGTTAATCCCTTCAGGCTGAGGCCAACGCCCTCCTTTCCATTACGGTGGTTCCGGTTTTGCACAGGTAGTGCTCTATCCAAGGTTATTAGTGCCGAAACAGATTAAGATAATTTTAAAGGAAGAAAAAAAATAAGAAATGCCAAAAATTCAAGGATATAATTTTATGAAGAGAACTCACATTATCGTGCTTAAACGATGAAAGCATGCGAATTTCGCGAAAAACCCGTTTACAAGAGGCCAAATTTTGAAAGACGTTGGGCATTTTCTTTAACGCGACACGTTTTCCGCTTCGTGGATCCGTCACCGACCTGAAATTATAATCAAGGATTACTGTATGTACCGTAATATCGCCCCATCACATCATTTTCTGAACAGGTTTCCTAAACAATTCTTCTCATCATCACATCGGCGCCCTGCCGCCGAGCCGATCACTTTACCCACATGCAAGCTAGCATATAGCGCGTATCTATCTGCTAATGTGATCAGTTGTGGACTGCGAGATGACGGGTCCTCTACCAGGTTTTTAGGGACCGGATCGATCGATATATCGATCAACCACCTATAGAACCACGAGAGTGCAGCTCGATATGAAACCCACGGTCTGTCCGTTTCCTTTGTATCGGCTGAAAAAGGGCTAAGAGGACTGTGTTCTGAGGGCCCAAAGTCCAATACTTCCGATCCACAGGGAGACAAATTTGCACGGGTTCGCAGCCCCAACTTTTGGCGATTTCAAGTACGGTAATTTAACACGGTGGTGGGACCCAGTGTGAGCGCCGACGAGAATGAGCTTCTTTTTCTTGACCTCCCGCTTGATTTTCTCCCGTTTCACTGCTACTCTTCCCTTACCTCTCCTCCCTAGTGGGCGGCGCCGCAAATTACTATCTCTAAAACTAGATGGAAAAAGTAGACCCCCCCCCCCCGCCCCGTCGACACTTTTCAGGAAAGATTAGTAAAATCGAACCAAGGAGATCGAGCTTTGTGGAAGAGGCGTCGTATTCTTGAGAAGAGGATGAGGCGGCATGGCTATTCATATTTAGCACAGCGCCAAGGACATGGCTCTTGTTTCCTTCTCTAGCCAGGCTCAGAACTTTCACATTCCCTTGCATCACTAGCCCGCATTCCTCTAGCAACAGAAGAATCGCGGCGGCCGTTACTGTAGCGGCCGGTCGGTCCAGTCTTGGACGAGTTTCGCCCAAATCACATGATCATCGATAACAGCCGGCGAACATCGACAAAAGGGGCAAAAACGCTAATGATTCGGATTTGACGCGCACGATTTTTATAAAACGAGAGAACAAACTAACCAAACAACACCGAAGGCACCGTAACCAATAGGTCGATCCGGTTGTGCATCCTGTACTGGTGCCGGATAGAACGGTTGCGTAGCGGCCAGTATCGCATTCGAGACATGTGCAGCCTGAATAGCACGTTTTAGCACGATAATCAGATTGCTGTACGGTTTAGTACAGAATTCCTTATGAATGTTTTTCATTCTAGTAGCTGCTGGTTTCTGAAAGAAAAGGGCCTATGAAATGTAAAATGACCGTCCTTTTATCAAAGTGTAATATCTATCCGAAAAAAATCGTGCGACACGTTGGCACTAGATCGATACAAAACTGTCGTTTTTGCCTGGCTATCAGTAAAAACTAACCAAGTATCCGCTTTATGTACTCAATCAGACCTTCAGCCAGTGCCAGTAATAACGACATCATGACCAAGACATCAGGCGCGGAGGTCCGATTTAGATGGTGGCCCTAAAGCTGGGTGAAGCGACGACGAGACCACGTGGACGGGCTGGCTTGAGGAGATGGGGGGGTCGCTGGTCCGTCAAAATAAGACTCGTTCGATAAAGATCGCTTAATGCGAACGCGTTATCGATCGGATAATCATAGATCCGATTCTTTTCTGACGAACAACGACGTAAAGGCTTTAGATTCTTTCTGACGAACGAAACGACGTAAAGACTTAGCTTAGAATAGCTAGCCGCATGAAAAATCGCGAGAAACCGGGCGAAGGAATCGAGGACGACATATCCAAAGCCGTGAAAAATAGGTAAAGGGGAGAGAAAGAAAACGGGGAAGAAAAAAATGACTGTGCAATATAAAAACCAGAAAGGGATGAACGGATTATGAGTGGAACCTAAGAAACCCGAAAAAGAAGAAATCCTTGGATGAATAGACTATGGTGGAACCTAAGAAAGGAAAGCGAATGTAGTTAGAAAAAAAATTCCAAACGAAAATGGGTCCTTTCACCCCTCCTTCCCCAGCTTTTCTGGACTCGCATCCGGTCGCGCAAACCCCGGTCGGTCCAGCCCACCGGTGAGGTTAGAGTATAAGCCCCCAAAACAGTTTTTCCAGGCGAAATCTCCGACGACATTCCATATCATAAAGCTATAAATCACACAACTTCGCACAACAACAACGTGCCAGACACAAAAAAGAAAAAAAGGGGGAAATGGGGAAACAGAGTGAAAGGAAAAAAGGAGCTTAATGCAATGAGGAAAAGCGCCCTGGGTGGCGCTGCCACGACAAAGCTACATATCTCCCACAACAGTCCTCTTCCATCGGGCCGCAGTGGTTCTCGAGCCGATGTTTCATCCCGAGCCTCAAAGATCAGAAACCAAAGATGAACGGCGGGTGACCGGAAATCGGAAGCCGGAAGCGAAATCCTTTGATGAGACCCTGAGTACAATTCCGCTGAACTCAGGGAAGGCGAAGCTGAGCAAGGAGAGCAGATCATCGTGATGAAGAACGTCGTCAAATACGATTCCATTTCTCCCCAGCGACTGTAATACGACCCCCCTTCTACAGACGGCGATCCTCCCCAACGACTATCTGAGCAAGAGCTCAGACCAAGTGGCAGCGAAGGCTATAGTGAAGCGATTGAATGCCGTCAGGAGATGTGAAAAGGCAAGAGCTGCTCGATCAACGGCATAAAAAGCGCCGCTAAGATGTTAGGCTTCAGAGCAGGACCAAAATAGCCCTAATCGCATAGGCAAGTGGGAATGACGTCAACGAGAATGGGCGCCAAAATATAAAAAATCGTCGTGATGGAGGTGGTTGACGTGGCGTTTTTGGCATGGCGATGGTGTTGGTGATCGTTCGATGGCAACCGTGATGGGGCGTTGTCGACTCGTGTCGTCTCGTCCTTGCTGCTATTTGTCACCGGACGCCCCATCGACGGCTGTCACTTCAAACAAAATCGAATTTTGGACTGTTACGTGTACTCGCCAACATTACCACCACAAAATGTGAACCGAAACATGTGACTGCTGGTGCTTCGTTTGCAGGCACAGCAAGGGGTGGCATAGGAGACCTGTTCCATCTGGCAGATGGCTAGAATGTTCAATCACTGATGAGGCACTGCTTTACAACAGCAAGATTCTTGAACAGCCAAATGGTTCCAGTGCAGCCAAAGAACTAATGTACTATCGCAAATGAATGAAGGAGAATTTGGACTGAAGAAATTCAATTAACGCGCCCGTAAGCATGACTAGGGTTGATGATGCTTCCAGTCGAACCTACAGGGAACGACGGGGGAGGCAAAATGTGACAGGAGCAGACCAAAACAGGCGACGTCCATGTGTACGGCAGGACCTTCGATCAGGAATATTTCGTCTATCTTCACAGAACCTCCTTGGAATTCCTTCCTGTGCTCACGGTCCTTTCCAAGATTTCTCGCTGGGCTCCTGAGCAGGTCAGATTTCCCAGTGAAAAAAAAGCTTAAGGCTGATGCTTGGGAGCCTTTAGAAAGTGCTTGCATCTGACACGAGCAGTGGCAACTCAAGGGCCGGCTGAAGCATCCCAACGAGAAGGTCTAAGCCGAATCAGGCGGCCGTATTTCAGGAATCAATTTTCCCAGGGCAATGGCATTGCCTTCAAGCGGCAAACCAAACCAGTCTCAATGACCACAACATAGCTCCTCGATGCAATCATGCCCCCCCCCCTGAGACCCGGATTTTTAACTTGCGTGGGGTTTCTGGTGTTAGTGAAATTAAACAACACAGTAAAGGAGGGCCGGATGGGAAGCCCAGGGCTCGATTTTTGTTTGCCACATGGAAATCGTGCGATCACGCTGTTATCGATCGGAATCATTTGGGGGTAGCGCTCGTTAAAGCGGGCCATATCGATCAAGCGAAACAACCAGTACAAAACCGACCTGACACGTGATCACAGGTTTCAGGACCCTGGTCCGTAAATAAACCACTCACTACCCAAGACTCCGAGAGGAAGAAGGGAAATTGGAGAAGTTGCTGGCCACCGTTCGAAGGAATGGACGACCAGCACTACGAAGGCAGTTGACCTGATCGGGAACGTTGGATGAGGAAATTCCAGGGATTCCTGATAAGATCGTTAGCCCACTTCGTGTCTACGGCCAGCGGTGGATACGAGGCCATCTTCGGCATTTATGCCCATTTGTTCAGGCGCCCACCTCCAACTGAGTAGTGGCCTTACAGTTTGGGGCCCATCAACAGCGGAAAATGATACTGGCCACAAATGGACTGGAGTGAAGAGTAGATCTCTGGAAAAGGCAAGCAACGAAAAGCTCAGAACAGCCTCCTCCCCTGCCCCCAAACGACATCCTGGCCACGAACAGTTTCGACAACATATCCTGGTGAGGAGCACCTGGGAACCCAGAAACAACCCAAATTTCCGGAAAATTCTGCTCCATATGGATAAATAGGCTAAAAGGAAGACGAGCTGCAAGACGATGAAAACGAGCGGTTAGCCACGAGCACGAGGGTAGGTAAAGTACACAACGCGGCGTGTGCCCCGGCTGGCGGCTCCATCACATCACGATGAGAGCGGCGATCACGCGAGAACTACGGGAAGTGGAGAGTGCAACGGTGGTGATCAATGGCGTGATATTCTCGTGCCTTATCACCTGACCAGCTGTGCTGCTGACTGAGATGAGTAACGTCTAATGAAAACATTACAAAATCAAAAATAAAGCAAATAATAAATAGACGAAATGGTCCAGTAGATTGCACCAAATGAGTCAGTTAGACGACATTCTTGTCCTTTCAGCAAGCCTTTGCGCTATTGATAGCCACTGATAAACGCTATCAGTTAGCATAAGACTACTAAATTACTGTCAAAACAGATGCAGAAATGCAAACGGTTTTGCCTAACTGAAGGTTATCTAGCCCCTGTTTGCAGAAAGATGTCTGGGCGCTGTTTGGCTTGGGAGGGGCACTTTGCATTTCGATAGTTCTTTTTGATATTTGATGTTAACTAGCAGACACACCCTTGCGAAGCTGTAAAGTGGAAGAAACGGTTTTGTTCGAAAAAAATTTACAGTACTTCACAAGGTGGTCTGAACAGGCTTCCCCACCAAGCCGAACTGCGCCGATTCCTGCTTCACAATCTCAA